AACCTGATGAAACAAAGAACAGAATACTGTATTTTTCAAGTATCTTAATTTTTTTAAGTTGAAAACTCATCTAATACACAGGGTGCAAAAAAAACCAGGAGAATATTCTAGGCCTAAGCAAATGTCTCAAGAGTGGTCTGACAAACCCAATCTATTCAGATTAACAACAGAAATTGAGGGATGACTTGATGACATCGTTAATGTATCTTTTCAAGGAGAAAATAATACCAGTTAATAAAGAGCTCTTCAGCCTAGATGAGAGAGGCATAAAAAGAGCAAATGGTGAGAAGCTGATGCCAGACAAATTCAAATGAGATATAATAAAGAGTAACAGTCAGGATGATTAATCACTTGAACAAACAACCTTCTCCACATTATGAAATTTTTAGACAAAAACTGGATGGCTTTCTGAAATAAATTATTTAAATAAATGGTCTAAGTTCTAAACAACTGCATAAAATTCCTTGCACAATCTTAGAAGGCCAAAATAGGTGATCAAACAGTGTCTCAAACTTGAAAGTTTTAATATGTGGCAGCTTCCAGAACCACACAACCATTCATAACTACTGCTGCTTTCTTATAATTTTCTTTTTTTATTTTTTTTTAATTGCTTAGTTTGTGAAACAGTTTTCTAGCCCTCAGTCTTATTACACAAAATGTTAATTTCCCTTCAGACACATCAGGTAAAAAGCAGGTGAAAGTTATATTTAAAAAACCACTCCTGTTTCAAATAGCATTTAACATAAAGAGAGAGAGGGGGAAGAGGGAGAAAAAGACACAAACACCAGCTCTGGAAGTATTAAAAGCATGCTCTGAAAACCTCTGTGATGACAGTTTGAAGAAAGCAGCTTTTATGTGCTACTGAGCCCATCTCCACAATGTCTTTTAAATGCAACTGTTTACCTAGAAAATATCAGCAAGGGCCAGAATCTGGACTAGATGAGGCACCTTTTGATTGCAGACACTGAACTGAATCCTTAACTAATAAATTGTTCCACACCTTTGTCTGAAGCAAGAAAAGAAAAGGTCTTCATTTTCTCACAAGAATGCACAAGCCCCCTCAAAAGCAGTATGGTTTTCTACATCTAAGTCTCAGTATTTGTTGACTTAAAGAGTTTGTATGAATGACAATGCACATCACTGGTTTGTTACTTCTGTCATCTGTGCTACTGAGTGTACCTTGGCTCAGATCAAAGTTGAAAGCTTCTTAAAAGATACACAAACCACAATGTGACAAATAGCATGCTTTGTTTGACACAGCAAACAAGAAATTACTTTCATCAATCCAGGGAAAGAATCCTGTGTTTTCAGTGCTAATTCTGAAGGCTGCAGTGATGGAACCAGAGCTTTACTTCATCCCCGAGGAATGAGGACCTCTCCAAAGACAAACAGAAAGGAAGAAACAATATCAGTGCATTAAATGCTGACAATGGTATGAATTTGAGGCTTGCACTCTACGGGATGCATTTGCAGAAAATTCACCCTTTACACAATTAAACAGATATCCCACAAAGTGAAAAATATCTCCACTAAGCAAATATTAATCTGACTGGAAATTACAGATTAGAACATTCTCAGTACTTCATAAATACATCTAAAACTAAACATTCCTATGTCTACCACATTACACAGCCTCCTACCACACATGGTTAATGCACAGGCATCAGAAATATTGCAAATTTTTGTCTTTTAATAGCAACATTACCTAAGCAACTGCCAATGCATTCTTACAAAGTATTTTAACATTTTCAAAAATATAAAGCACATTAGATCTATAAATCCTTACTAAATGTGCACTATTGGAGTAAAAAATATTTTTCACTAAGACATATGCTCAATAAAAATCAATTGTCATATGTGAAATCATGTTTCGTATGGAATCTAATTTGATCCAATAACGTATATATACAAATTTGCCTTTAAATTAAGCTTTTTCTCCCTCAGGAGGAAGCAATATTTACTTAGCAGAGCAGATTTTTAATTCAGCTACGAACAAGTGACAACCTTTTCACTGGCTTGTAAGGGCTTTAAATGAGACCTAATAACATCTCTACTACCCTTACAAACTAAAATTGCTCAGCTTTCCTACTGAGCTAGAAGCACATGCCTGAAAGTTAACAGAAATTCACAGAAAATGCAAGCAGTAAGAAAATAACACAACTGTGACAAATACATAGTATGCCCATGTGCAAACAAATATTTAATATATGTGAACAAAGAGCAAATGAGGTAAAACATTTTCAAACTCCTGAGAAGAAAGGGCAGACAGTGTATTTTTGTAATTAAGGATGTCTGACTCAGTTCTCTTAAAACAACCTTTAACAGGGCAACTACAAAGGTCTGTGACATGGTGTTCCTTGCTGAGTCAAAGGCAGGGCTCACATGTGCAGATTTGCCAAAACCTGCCCTCCTCAGCCAGCAAAAGTATTTCAAGCTGGAATTCCTCTTTAATGCGTTCAGACTCAGCTCTCATTGTTTATGACAGCAGTGCACTTGGTTCTCAGAAGAAATACTGGCTTGTAGGCTTCCAGTAGCATAAATGTCCTGATTTCCAGTGGGAGAAACAAATCTGTATGTTTACACAGGCAAAGGTTTATCCATCCTACTCAATGTCTGCACCCTGGAGCCACAGCCCAGCAACCCTGGGACCATTCCTGGGACCATCCAACCTAACAAAACCCTTTAAGGGATAAGCTCAGGGCAGGCAGAGCCCTCACCATGCTCACTGCTTTCCACACAGACTTTACTTATTGTGTTAATACCCACTTTTATAACACATCCTTGTAGAAACCACCATTCAGCTTGAACCAGGCTGCACAATAGTACTGCTTTCCTCCCACTTATATTTTTATCATGCTTTTTCAACACTACTAAGTGTAAAACCACATTACAGGCAGCAAGTTTCACGATGTAAAGACACGATATCGGTGAAGCCCATTACAGTTGCTGTACTAAAAAGTTTCCTTCAAACCTTTGCCCCAGCATTGCTGTTTCTGTACCAGATTTATTCAGCCCATACAATTTAATAGCTCTTCCTGAAAAGTTACTCTCCTGCCATTGATAACAGCAGGCCACCTGCCTCTGCTAATTAGCAGTACCATGCCCAGTTGCAGCTCTACAAGAAGAAAATAGATTGGCTCTTTGGCTGATGCATTTCATTCTAGAAGACCAGAAGCTGGTGAATCTCCAAAAAGATTTTAAAATGTACTGCAATGTATAGTTCCTCAGCTGAGTGCAGCTAAACCTCTGGATAAAAATCCTCATTTTTCCTAAGTCTTCTTAAAACTGATTCTGTGAAAGTCAGTCATTTGAGACAGATCTGAGATTTTAGCACTATTTAAACATACAACTAACATTTTAAAATTATACACATGGATAAAACCAGGTATCATTAGTCACTTATTAGTCACCTTCAAAACAGGCAGCGTGTTCATTATGTTAATGTCCTTGGAGTGTTTAAAGCAACCTTTTGCATTTGAAGTGGAGGCTCTTGGTAAAAGGTGGCACTTAATAAGAAATGGCAATTACTAAGGCATCTTACTCTCCAGAAGACTGCAGTATGAATTTTAATTTCTTCCTGGCCATGTATCAGCTAAGGCTAACATAGGCATTTTAGTTTAGAAGCAGTAGGAAGTACAGTAAAAGTGAAAACCAAAATGAGAGAGGACACTAATCTTCTCTGAGTTTCAATTAAGGCCCAGCACCTCTGGATTAAAGGCTTATTTTAACGAAAAGCCTTAATTAAGCATACATGTGTATAGGATCACCTTAATGAGGTATGACAGAAATGGGAGAGATTGCAAGCATTGTTTGAAAAGAAGCTTATTAGCAACTTTAGGAAAGTCAGTCATGGATTCTAAAAAAATGGAATGCAATACTGAAAAGATACAAAAATGCTGAATCATGTTGAAGCATAAAACTGAAACTGCAATAGGCACAAGAGAGGTAATTTTCAGAATCCTTATATCCATAATGATACACGTTAGTGATTTTTCTACACATCAGTAGGTAGGGTTTTGAAAATATTTCGGCATTTACCCTTTTAGACAGCACAAGATCGAGTTTTCTACTTTATTTTCTAATTAAAATTTATTACTGAAAACCTTTAAAAGTTTATACTGTAAAATATCCGTTCATCATATTTGGTGTCAGGATAACAGGCAAGATCACTTTAAAAAACACTATTTTATCTTTTTATTCCTGCCTTCGGAAACAATCAGTGATTTAATGTCATTTTAAAGATAGCCACTTCAGCTGCTTTTTACATCTTCCCCTACCGTAGAGAGAGGTATTCTCATTTGCAGATTTGACTTTAAAGTAATTACTTGTAATTACAGAGAAGTGCATCCAGTGGATTAATCACTCCATTTATATGCTGCTCAAAGGATTACTCTCAGGACAGCCTAACTGCTTTTGCTCAGAAAATGTCACTTCCACAGGAAAACAAATCTCTCAAGTCAGCAGCAGCTGAGAAGGACTCTGACAAGTATTTAAACCCAAAAAAATCAAAGAAATTGCACACCTGGATCTGATGCACCATCTGTGCCTGTCCTCCTTGTGAAAAATAAAGGGCCACCAAGTGAGAATAACCAGGAAAATGGCCAGAGGAAGCCTACACTCCTACTAGAAGGACTTCTGCACAATTCTGCATCTGAAAGAAACACATCAGTGCAAATCAAAGACACGGGCAGTGCTTCTGGCTCAGGAAGGCACATTTTAAAATGTGGGAAGGACCTAAAGGAGCTGATGCTGTACTAAACACATCTTTACCATGTCCCTGAGCCATTTTCTTGCTTGCCTTGCACAAAAGTAGGATACTAAGGGGCAAAGATCTTTCTTTGATCCATATGGATACCGTTCTGTCCTCTTTACAAAGATTTCTTTTTTTTTTAGTGGTGACTCCATTATAGAGTTGCCAAATACACAGGTCGCCCAAAATGGCAGTGAGGAAGAAGCTGGTGAAGGCTCTGGAGCACAAGTCCTGTGAGAAGCAGCTGAGGATGGAGAGCCTGGAGAAGAGGAGTCTCAGGGGGTACCTTACTGCTCTCCAGAAGTACCTGGAAGGAGGTTGTAGCCAGGTGAGGGTCAGTCCCCTCTTCCAGGTAACAAGCCGTATGGATGAGATAAAATGGCCTCAAGCTGGGTCAAGGGAGGTTTAGATTGGAAATTAGGAGAGATGTCTTTACTGAAAGGGTTGTCTAGCACTGAACAGGCTGCCCAGGAAGTGGTGGACTCACCATCCCTGGAAGTGTTTTAAAAAATGTGTAGATGTGGCAGTTAGAGCCACAGTTTAGTGGTGGATTGGCAGTGTTGGGTTAATGGCTGGGCTTTTCAAGTCATTTCAAACCCAAATGATTCTATAAATCTATGATAATCACAGGGCCTGCCTCCCATCTTACTACCTGCCAGGTTAAAAATGCACATTAAAAATTGAAAAACACAGAAAAAAAAAACTCTTCAAATCCAATTGCACATGGAGGGACACAACCAATGCTCACTAACCTCCACATTATCACACAGACATAGAGCAAAAGGGAAAAACACTGTCTAGAGACAGTGGGATACAGGAATTCGTAGGGAAAGCCAGAAAGGAATTATTCTCTATGGACAGTGACTGGTATCAAGCCAGGAGAGGATCTATTCCATGCTCTGAGAAGAAGGGAGCAACACCTCCCACTGCCCCCCTTCCCTCAGAGCCTGTGTGGGGTTGTGGGGCTGGGGCTGTGCAGGGGAAAAGGGACAAGAGGTTAAAAAGAATCCTCATGGCTGGAAAAGACCTGTATGACCCATGAGTCCAACCATCAGCCCATTAACCACTGCCGGGTCCACCACAAAACCATGTCCCCAAGTGCCACATCTACAGCTTCTCTGCAGCACAGACACAGCCCCTCTGGTCATCCCATCCTGAGCTGTGAGTGGAGAAGGTGAGGATTGCCTCAGCTGGGAAAGGAATAACCACACACTGGAACATCCAGATCCGGGGTTCCAGTGTAGGAGGGACATGGAGCTGGAGGAGTGAGTCCAGAAGATGCCACAGAGATGATCAGAAGGTTGGAGCACGTCTGCTACGGAGCCAGGCTAAGACCTGGAACTGTTTAACCTGGAGAAGGGAGACCTTAGAGCAGCTTCAAGTACCTTAAGGAACAGCAGGAGAGGGAGAGGAGTGATAGGACAAGGAGGAATGGTTTTAAACTGAAAAAGGGTAGATTTAGTTTAGATATTAGGGAGAAATTCTTTCCTGAGAGGTTGGCGAGACCCTGGCACAGGTTGCTCAGAAAGGCTGTGGATGCCCCATCCCTGGAAGTGTTCAAGGACAGGTTGGAAGGGGCTCTGAGCAGCCTGGGACAGTGGAAGCTGTCCCCAGCCAAGGCAGGAGAGGTTGAACAAGGTGGTCTCTAAGTCCCCTTCCAAACTAAACCTTGCTGTGAGCATGAACCAGAGCAGCCCTGTGGGCAGTGGCTCCTGTGTGTCACAGCTAAGGGGTCTCACTTCATCCCCTGCTGCTCCACTCTGGTCCCAAGTCACGTCCCCCTGCTGTACCAGTGGGGATGTTGGGATCACAGCAGAGCAGCTCCAGCACCACAGGGGCTGCCAGCATCACCCCTGCCCTGTGCATCACAGGCTTGCAGAACAGTTCTGGGGGGTTTATTGCTTCAGACATCTTTCCAGCAGTTCAGCCTGAAATTTGTGAATCCTGCTATTTGTTCTGAATCCATTCCCTGTACACTGCAGGCAGCCCACTGAGGGTGAAATGAGGCTGACGGGAGAGAAACAGACTCGGTGATTTATGGATCCAAAGTTAACTTCTGCACCTGGAACAGATGTTAAGCTCTTTCCAATGGGATCCTGAGGAGAAAACAACAAAAATTGTAGGTTTTTTTCTCTGCTATTGATGAGGCTGCTTCTCCTGAGAAATATTATTGAAGTCTTTTAAAATGTCTTATTGTAATGGAACACTGTTCTTGTCAGATCAGCTAAAGATTATCAATGGAACATTATTACTCTACAGGGTACTAATTCACATCTCCCAAAATAAAGCACAAGCGTGGGGAGGAATGGAGGAACAGGTAGATAAGCCCATTCCCTGTATAAAAATAATACATTCTTGTTTATATTCAGTGTTCTGGAAGGCAAAATTAGCCTTTGGGATTGTTTTTAATTATATGAAATTAAAATGTGTTTGGGCATGCCAAACTTTTATCGTTCATAATGAGTTTATTGAATATAATAATTAAGAGCTCAGTAATTAAAACTTTTAAATTACTGTTATTTTATTTAATATAAATGATAAATCAAAGATTTCATTTGACTTTTTATAAGTTAAAACTAGGATGTGTCAGAAACATCAATCTTAAATTTCATATTACAGTAATTGCATGTTAGTCTTCAACTACTGGAGTTGTATGTGCATAAAAGCATTTAACAATTCAAAAATATTGCCTAAGTGCAGAGTTTAATTTAATTTACTATAACATGTATGGTTTTAAATAATTTATAACAATAATTATTCAAGATTGGTCGGGGATTTTTTGCTTTTTAGGGCTGCTCCTCCAAATAAGAGATGAGAGCAGTTTCTGCAGTGGCTCTACAGGATCATATCATACAAAGTCATCAGCTGCAGGATCTTTTAACATATTCTTCTGTGTCAAGGACAAGGAATATCAAGAACTTTTACAAATCCCATGAATAAAAGAAACTGTCAGAGTAATAGTAGATACTGGACTAAGAAAAAAAGAGCACAAAAGCAAGGAAGATGCAGAAAACAAGGATCTTCTTGACCCCAGTGCTCCACAGCTGACTTAGGTAAACCATTCTGATTTGTAATTTTGGTTTTTATTTAAAATAAACTGAGATGGGGGCTAAGCTTTCTGTTCAGAAGATGATTTAATGCAAACAGCATGGTATCTTGTTTTAAAATTTATCAAAATTTAGCAGTTTAAGTCATTAGGTAAAAAATAGAATTGCCATCAGCGGCTTAAATGTGTCTTTTCATATCTGAAATGCATTTAAAACATTATTCTTGTGACAATGAATGTAAAAAGGTGAAACTAGTGCATCTTTATGAAGACATATTCTTTATTAGAAGCAAGAAGTAATTTTAATATTTATTTAATGTCATTACTTTCTTTACATTTTATTTTTATGAAAACATCAGTGATTTTCTTACGGTATTTAGTTGGGGAAAGGTTCTATCATTAAGCTTTTTTTAAAGTCTATTTGAAATGGTCTGGTTTATTCCTTATTCTGTAAAAAGACATTTAATAATGCTGCATGAAATGTATTCTTTGTTAATATATACCCAGCTTTGCTCAAAGTTAAAAAGGTTTGTTTTTACAATGGTCCTGGGGCTAAACCAGGGAAGAATTAACACCTGTAGCTAAATACCTTTTTCAAATTTAGAAGCAAACATGCAGCAAGATAAAAGTCACAGATGTGAGGGCTTGGAATGATGCCTGGTGAGAAAACTCACTTTTAAATAGTGTTATAATAATACAGTTGTGGAGCAGCGACAGACAAAATTGCTTAGAAAAACAAAGCCAGGGAGCTCTTAACAGACCAGGAGATCAAATGTGCTTCTTGCCTCTCTGTATTTCCCTTTTCTAAAGATTTCATCACTATTTTTACCATGAACATCTTGTGTCCATCTTTTCTGTTGCTTTGATTAGGCACTACTTAAAGAACCTGGCTCCAAAATTTGCAGTTTTGAGTGTAACAAACTTTCATCATCATTAATAACTGTTTTATTTATTCTTTTTCGTGCAAAATGCCCCTTGGCCTCCCTGAAGATCAGGCTGGCTTTGTCACAGGAACTGTCCCAGTAGTCCCAGCTCCAGAGGGAACACATTAAACCAGGGATGCTCCATCCAAGCACAGCTGCCTTTGGAACCAGCTGAAGATTCAGAGGGAAACTTCAGATGGTGCCCAGCAAGGGAGTGTAACCAGTGACAGGACAAAGGTAATAAGATGAGGTGATTAGCACTACATTTACATGGTTATAGTTCTAAAGATGGCAGGTTTTTTTCTTTGGTTCATTCTGAAGAGAGGATAGCAGTGGGAAAAACAGAAAAGAGGTATTGGGGTTAAAATTAACATCAATAATGAGTGATTATGGAAGCTAAAGGCTGAGGTGAAAAAATGCAGCCCAGGTGTGAGCATGTTTTCTGCTGTTATTAGAAAGACTAAGTATTTTCTCTTTAAATCACAGCACTGAGTGAATTTTCCCACACAAATATTTGTGAAAGGGATTTAAAAGACTGTGCTGAAATACATTTTGAAATTTCAGTTGTTCCTGGGTTTTACTTTGTAGTATTTTCACCAATATTCTCATATTATTTCAAAATACATCTGTCAAATTTTCTCTTCCTTAAAAAGGATTGTGTGGTTTAAACATTAAAACTGCAAAACAACTTTGAAAATGTAATTTAATGGAACATTTTCTTCTTGATTTTATGGGTAATCAAACAGAGTTTCACAGGTCTGTGTTACTCATTTTTTTCAATAGCAGTTTGATTCCTAAAATCCAGTAGTAATAGTTTAAAGCTTAATGTATGTAAACACTTAGATAAGGTTTATTTTAGGATAAATAACTTGGTTGTAAATGGATGTGTCAGTAAATGGGTTGGGATTTTAAACCTGATGCATAAGGATGAAAATTCTTGGATGTCCTGAGCTGTGATAAATGTAGGGTTTCATTGTTTGTATTTTTTCAAAGTGCTGCTTTGCAAATATCTCCACAGAGCCTTTTGCTTTGACCACACATCCCTCCTTGTGTGTCCTGCCACCAGTTTTCCCTTAGAAACTCTGCTGTATAAAAGTTTTCCTTCAAAACACCTGTACAGCCTGTCTCTCACAAGTGTCCCATCTGGTTTGTATTATTTAGAAATTCAGCTTTGCTGCCAATCTCTTCTTGTTTGGCAGTTTGAATAATCCATTTGTGAAGGTTTTAAATAAGAATTTTATCTTACCTCGGGGGTATACAGAAGGCTTTCCATAAAGCCATCTCATTTTCTTCCTTAAAACAGTCTCTGACCACAGTGCTTGGAAAGAAATCAAGATCAGGCATTTTTTATGTTGTGATAGTGTTGTCACTGCTTTGCTTTCTTGTTCACTCCCCCTGTACCCAGATTTTCTCATCACAGAGGCCATCACTCGACAGACTGGGCTATCAAAATGGGACAACAAAAGTGACAAGGTGGGGTCTAGGTGAACCATGCAGGGAAATCACTCCCCACATTGTTCCAAAAGCATAAACTGACCCAGCTGAAACCTCAAAGTTGTTGCTCTAAAACATGGATTCAAATTGATTTATGTTTGAAGGATGTCATGACCTCACAAGGAAGTGGGTTAGGCAGATAGTTCAACTAAAGGGAAGACAGGATCCTGATAGATCCTTTAGTACCTCTCAAAAGTTCTTTTAAAAGATCAAAGGCAGTTTGTGCAAATTTTAGATGATTAACGATATACATCTGTAGATGGATGAGCTCAAAAGGAGAATTTTAGCCTCAAAAATTAACAAATCCTGCCCTAGAATAATGAGATACTTGAGCAAGGGGATCACCAAAACCCCATGACTTGCTAGGAGTCCTTTTTTCTTCATGAGAAATGAGTTTGGATGCACAAGCTGCCTGATGGGGGTTTTGAAAGCTTACACAGAGCAAATATGTGCTGCATAGTACTGTCAGATTTATGCAAAGATTCTGGTATGAATGAAAGAGTTTACCCTTTCCTTCCCATCTAGGACTGAGCTCTCATCTAGGTGTCATCAGCTTGCATTTTAATTATTGTAATTATTGTAATCATTCTATGTCACTCTTCCTTTCTTGTTTTATCAAGCACCATGAAGGCCTCACCATGGACTCAAGTTCCTGGCTTGTTACACAAACTTGGACATTTCTCCGTGGATTCTGCTCAATCAACACAAGCAGCTTCTTCTGGTCTTCCAAGATGATAAATATCTATGTTCTGCCAGCACGTGGTTTTTACTGCTGAGGTACTGACACTGGACTTTGTCTGGCACTTGTGGGGGCAGGCAGGAACACTGTAAATATTTTCACTGATTCCTTCTTTAAGAAAGCAGAGATTTCTCATGTACATGCACCAAGGCACCTCACATTCATTGCTGGAGACAGACAAGTTCAGTTGTAACAGTGACAGTATCACTGGATTCTTGTGACCATCTTTTTGTCTCTTCATGCTGTTTATTCCTCTTTCTTATGAATAACCTCGTTAAACTTCAGAATTTTGCAGCAGCGGCCACAGTTCTTTTATTATACTACTTGATTATATTTTAGGAGTGTATAAATGCAATGCGGAGGAAAACTTCACAATTATGAGATTTTATTTATACTGATTATTTGAAATTATGCTGTTGTTACACTCCTTAGTTAATCCCATTTTAAAGGCTCTGAAAAGTATCAAAATAAATTCAAATTACTCAGCAAATAAAAATGTACATTTAAAAAATCCTGTATAAATCCTGTATGTAAAGGAGGTTCTGATAATTACTGAATAGCTAATCCATTCATGGTTTAGGCTGGAAGAGACTAAAAATCATCCAGTTCCAACTCCCTGAAATGGGCAAGGACACCTTCCACTACCCCACGTTGCCCACAAACACATCCAGTCTGTGCTTGGACACTTCCAGGGATGGGGCAACCACATCTCTGGGCAACCTGTGCCAGGGCCTCACCCCCCTCACAGGGAAGAATTTCTTCCCAGTATCTAATCCAAATTCTCTTAGAGTCTGAAGCCATTCCTCCCTTGTCCTATCTCTCCATGCCCTTGTCAAAAGCCCCTCTCCAGTTCTCTTGTAGCCCCTTTAGCTACTTAATAGTAAGAAATACGCTGCCTGATGGTGCTTTGTCTGATGATAGATTTATATGAAGTATCTGTATAAAGTATTTCTAAGCAAATGCATTATTAATGAATTTCATATGAAGAAAATCCATTGTCTGTAAAGGCCAATGGGGTTTATTCAGTGATTTCTTGTTATTGTTGCTCAGAAATCAGGAGTAGTTGAGCACCCTTCCTTGTCATTTCCTGCTGAAGAATGGGTAAAAAGAAAGAGATCCACACAGCAGGGAAAATCCATACAGTGTTGTCCAATATTCAGGAAGGAATTTGCAATTCAACACGGAGTTCAAATACAACTGAATACTTGCATGGACTCAGAATTGTATTTACTTATTTTCCTGAGGTACTGCTGAAAGTCATCAGCTGGAGGAAGAAATGAAGGAAAAGTCTACTTTTAGTCACCATTTAGCATTTAATAAGTGGACCAACTCAGTGGCCAACTCTGATACTATTTTGAACATGACATGGTAGAGGAAGATTGGTAACATTTATGCACTTCTGACATTATGACAGTAGAGAAGCCTTTTTACCTGTTCTTGCAAAGCAGGTATAGGCTATTTTCTGCTTCAAATAAACTTCTGTTAGATATGATTCTGGCCTTCATTCATCAGGTAAACTTTTGCTGCTTGTACAATTCAAGATATTGTTTGTCTTCTCAAAAGCTTTGTTAATATCAGATGAGTACAAGAGTTATTCCTATTTGGAGAACAAAGTAGGTGTACACCCAATGCCAGACAGTCACTTCCTCAGGTTATTTGATGAAGTGCCTGCATTTTACCTTGATGGCCTGCTCAATGCCCATGTGTAGCATGGACATAAATACATCCTGCTCTATTACATTCTTTAATCGATCATCTTGAAAATATTAAGCAAAAGAGACAAGTGACTGATGGAACAGAGAGCTGCTTCAGAGAGGTGACAATGGTAATTAGAAGAATTATCCCAATTGCTTAAAAGTTTCTTTCCACAGTGCATTTTATGGTAGTTTTTCTACCTGTTCCCCTTCTAATTTTTTTTAGAAGACTCTTCACAGCCAGGTCTGTGCTGTGAATCCAAGTCTTTGAGTAATTTCAGATACAGGGCTGCTGCTTCTTTTGATCTCATCAGCTGGAGGTGAACAACTGTCCACAGACTGGTGGGAGAGGTCTGGAAAGATCTGCCAATTTCTGGCTACCCTGAAAGTCTGAAACTTCACAAGAGGGAGCAAAAAACAGCACTCATTTAAAAAGTTACTTTATATTTGGCACAAAAAGGCAAATGCCTCTGGAATTCTTTTTGTCCTGGGTGTTTCCTTAGCTTTCCTGCCTCAAGGGAAAAAGCCACTGTACCTGCAAGCTTGCCCTGCAGCTGTTGCTGGCCATTAATCCTCTTGTGGCTGCCAGCTCAGGGGTGCTCGCTGCTTGTTCTGGGCTTCACTCCTTCCCCACTTTCCCTTTCCCCTAAGAGCCAACTGCTTTTTTTGTCCAACTCTGTATCCTCTGTAAGGATGGAGATCATCAACATTTGGTGGGAATCTAGGTCAGATAAAGGTGAAGTTTTCTTGTAGCCTGTCAAGTTACTCTTTTGTTTTGTTGTATGCCAGAAACGCTGCATTTGATGTGCATCACCTCTTGAAGTGTAATGTCTCTGCTGGGAAAGGGGAGAAAAATTCAACAGATATCATTTTAAATGTTTGGTTTATAATTTTTTCCTTCACCCAGTAGCAGTTGCCATTTCTTGCTTTCTGCCACCCCATGTGTTGTTAACACAAAATTCACAATTTCATAAAATAATTTTATTTTCACTAAAAAGATTGTAGTAATCACAGAAGGAAACTGATGACCTTTCAGAATTTTTCTTGTCAGCATTTTTTTCCTTTTCAGCTGTTAGAATGCTTTAAAGTCAGGTTTGGTTCTGGGGTTGTTTTCTTTCCTTTGAAAAAACAGGTGCTGCATTCATGCTCCCATGTAGTCCATTAAGGGAGTACATTTTTATATAACTATTCAAGAACATAATACATGAGTCTTTTAATTAAACTACCTAAGTGACTATCTTAATGAATTAAATGTAATCATCTTGAAAAGCAATTTTGATTCCAGATTTTTATGGTAAGAAATATAATTTGAAGCTATTTTATGATAAAGCACTTTATTCTTTTTTACAACCTTTTTTAAAAGCACATGGGAAAACATAGTTTGCAACTGAGCTATACAGAAGTATACTAACCTGGAATAATTTAATCCATGAAATTTCATGTGAATTTGTGGAGACTTACAAAATTCTCTTAAAGCTTTAATTTTAAAAATATGCATGTTGTAGAGTGTTCATGGATTGATTAATTAACTGGTTTTACATTCTGTAACCTAGCCTGTTTTATCTGTACCAATGAAATTAAATATATTGTAAACAATCGTAATTATAATTATTTTTTCAGTCATGCCTAAAAACCTTTGAAAAATTTACAGGTAGAAAGTTGTCCTATGTGTAGAAAAGAGCAGTATCAGACCAGAGAAAGACATGATGGGGCATGTTTAGTAAAACTGAATTAATTAGGTAAGCCTTACTTCTGCTACAGGTGTGTCACCAGACAGTATTTATTTCTTAATAATGTTCCAAATTCATTACACTTTTAGTAAGAAAATAGACAGAATGCATGCACTAGAAAAGTTAAAGTTCAAAAAGAAGGTATTAAATCACTGTTTCATATAAATAACTAAATTATAAAAATTTGCGTTTCCTCTTCTTGAACAGAATTGTCTTAGAGGATTTAAGCTTCCTGGAGGGGATATATTGTTAGAGAAGAGTCTAAAGACTTAAGGGAAGCAGTGCCTCCTAAGGATAGAAAATTAAGAAAGCAACTATTTGATAAAACATTTTGCTGTATTTGCTTCCTTGGTCTTTCTCCTTAGGGTGATTCAGCTTCCTTAAACCAGAACTCCTGATTATCAGCTCCCTCCCTTTTCACTTATTCCTTCTCATTCACACTAAACAGGCAGCACTGGAGCCACTCAGTTGTTTTGTCAGTCAGTTCATTCCATCCTCTTTAGAAACAATGCAAAATCCTTCCCTGTAGTAGAGAAAAAGAATTTGAAGGTGACTGAAGAACGCTGATATTACACTCAAAAGTGCTCAAGCCCTTAAATTTGGAATAAAGTAACCTGTCAGTGGATTGTGCCTGTTCTCAAGGAACATCACTGGAACAGACAACACTTGGATTTTCCTGCTGTCTGCAAGTCTGGAGAAGCTTCTTTCCCAAGAAACTTGCCAGGTTCCCATGTGCCCAAGCCACCATGCAAAGCCATGGTACAAGGTCTCAGCAACAGGAGGTTGGAGAAGGCTCCTAAAGCTGCAGCTGGATGTTGTTGGTCAAAATTTCTCTCACTGAACTTCAGGTGGCTACAGCAGCAACCCTCCAAGCTACCTGCCCTGGGCTGGCTTTAGGGACCTTGCCTTTGGTACCTGGCTGGCCACATTTCAAAAGCCACAGGAAGGTCTTCATCCAACAGTGTCCACAAAAGTGCCTCAGCAGTAGGAACTTGTTCTCACATGTAACACTTCAGGATTTTACAGGGAACAAAATAGGCACTGCTTTTCCACTTTCTATTAAGAATAAATTTATAGAGTCTCCTCATAATGATTAGCCAGGTTAGAATAAATTCAGTGCAAGCCGTGATTAAAGGACCTGCACTTATTTTTCTTAGTGGATTTCAAGTGGGAACTGTAGATGAGTTTTCCTGCTGTTCACCCTGACACTTTAAAGTGTTGGTTAATTAAAACATTAAAGAAAGTTTTCACAAGGAGCTATCCATTTCCAGACACTAAAAACATCTTCTAAAATAGAATTTGTTTCTCAAAATTGAACTGTGCTTTTTAAATGTCACTCCCTAAACATTAGCATAATCAAATGGTATCACAGTAGCCAAAAAAAAAACCCCACAATTATTTTTTTAATAACCCTACTGTCTCTGGAAGGATCATAAAGGTTAAATGTCAAGTTTCATATGCTTAAATAAATATCACAAAATAAAAAACAAGGTCTGAAATATTAGGACTAGGAAGGACACATAGGGCTTGTTTCAGGGTGCTACGGTAGCCCTTATTACACCTGGCATTAAAATTTTTAATAATCTAGATCAAAGGAGATAAGAAAGGTCACTGAAACCAAAGTAGGCTACTTTTTAGCACTCCTATACACAGAGAGCAGGGTGTTGCTTCAGCATGTTAGGTAGTGAATTTCTTTGATCCTACCTATAAATGTCACTCTGTATGTCATTTAATTGTGGTATAGCCTTTTATTGGTGCAATTAAATCTTTTCTAATGCATTACATTATCTCCAGCTCTGCTAAAAATCCTGCCATTGTTTAGGAAGCGAGGCAAGTCATTGTGAAATGATGCAGTTGAGTTTAGTTTCTTCCTTCCCCCCTCCACATGATTTCTCCCAACAATTTTAATTTAAATCTCACCAAACAGTATAATGGTCCTGGAATTTGTTTAGTCGTTTGACTTCCTTTATCACACAGAGATGGTAAACATTCTGTTGCTAACCTGAAGTGGCTCCAAGCAGCAAAACTAGGAGGATATTAAACCAGTAAAAGCTTATCAACAGATTCATTGATATGCTGTAAATTCCAGCCTTTTCATTTTACTTTTGAGGGTTGCCATAAGTCAACACATTAGTAAGCAATTTGCTGACATTGGATCACTTAAAAAGGCTTCCCCATGGACAAAGTTCACCTCGGTGCTTTGTTTCATGGTTTCATTTTATCATAGTCCTGTGCTGCTGTACAGATGACTGATGCAGCTTTGCATAGCGATGGGGGATTGCACAGTCACTTTATGCCACTCTGTCCAAGATTTAGGAAGTCTGAGACATAAAATGTACAGGGTATGGTGTTTTCAGAAATAAATTCACTTGCTCTGTTTCAGTTATTCCAGGATTAAAAAAAAGTTATTCAGTATTACACATTAAAATTTCATTTTTGCATCCTAGAACGTGACAATAACAAATTATTCAAAATGCTGATTTCCTTTCCATTCACATTGATAGGTCACACTGATCTACCAGTTAGCAAAAATTCTGGGTTACATGTCAGTTACACTTGGTTTTTTTTCCCAACCTTAGACTTTATTTACTGATTGATGGATATGAGTTGTGTCAGATCATACTACAGAAAATCCATGAGCAGCTCAAAGAAGACAGTATCTTAGCAGCAGAGAAACTTCACAGATCCCTGTCTCAAAGATGCACACTTGCTTACAACACCAGGCCAGGTCTGGGCAAGTCTGATATCACTATAAATAAAGACCAAGCACAACTCAGGGCCAGAGGTGTTTTCAAATGGACCAACCTTTACTTGATGGTGAACAGAAACTCCAAATTGTGTAAGAGTTGGGTATAAGCTCACCTTGCTCTTCCTGAATCCAGATTTTAATACAAAATCGGTAAAACCAGTTAAAATTGCAATGCAGAGATTCAGTTCTAGAACACAGCTGACAACAGCCAGGTATGACTGACCAGGATTGTAATTGATTAAAAACATAATCACATTAAAATATTAAAGATATAAGCAGCATTTCACGAGTCATTCAGAGAGCACACTGTGTCACCAGTTGGGATTGTTTGGAGACCACAAAGTGTAAATATTGGAGGATGCCTGTGATGGGACTGTTGTTTGTTTGTTTTTTGTTTTGCACATACCACTGAAGGTCAGTGTGAATGTCTGTGTGGGACAGACAGGGATGTTTCTTTCCTGACACAGAGAGGGGAAGCAGCAGGTTCCCCACCTGCTCTTTGCTACACAGAATTCTCTCACAGAGTACAAGCTGCTGCTTTTCCCATCACTTTGGGATTTAAATAAATCCACAATACAAAGGCTCTCAGGGAACTTTTATGTTACGTTGTTAAATCAGCATTCACCAACAAGGAAACGAATCCAATTTCTACTGACAAAAGGGTACATCCTTTCACTATCCTGTTGTGTTAGGGATCATTTGGGAACACAGTAAGTCATAGCAGTTCTCAGTTAGCAGTGAATCAGAACACAGAATAAAAAGAATGTGAGATATATTAGCAGAAAATTTAGAAATTCAAAGTTTATATAAATTCTTAGTGAGTTTTCCACATTCTTTCTGAGGGATTTTAGTGAGATTTGGGGTCTTGATTTCTTTGGGTCTAAAAAAGTTAATTTTAAATACTCTGATATATGTTATGAAGGGTCACTTTCACAGCTGGAAGGGAGCAGGTGTGCTGGTAGAGAAAAGCCACCAAAAGGAAAAAAAAATGAAATAAAACAATAAGAAAGTGTTCAGGTGCCACAAGGCTGTCTGACCTCGAGTCCAACCATTCTCCCACCTCACCTCCCACTTCCCAACCCACACTCCCTGAAAAAAATGGCTCCTTTTCCTATCAGGTTTTCTCTCACAGGAAATGCATGGAGAGAAAGGCTCACACTGCCTGGTCATGATACAGATGTCAAAATGTCCTTTAAAACTGCTGCACACATTCATGACCAGACACACAGACAAGTCTAAGACTTGTGTGAGTCCCTGCAGAGCTTTCAGATACAGGGGTACATTAGGAAGAAGTGGCCACAGTGAGCTGGAATTGCACTCAAGATGATTAAATTCAAGAAAAACAATCCTTTTAGGTATTTATGTTGTTGAGCCCCTGTGGGAGCATCTTCAGCAATGAAGACGAGATTGCCCAGGCCTACATGCAAGATGCAGAAACATACTCAAGGCAGTAAAAAGGCATAAAAATCTATGCTGAGGACAACACCTGAGATTCCTCCCACTCTCTGTCAAAAAAACCAAACCAACCAAGCCCAAAAAATACAAAGAAAGAAGTACTGAAGATGTGATGTAGTGCCAGAGATCAAGCTTGGAGGATTCTGTACCCACTTGAACTCTGCATTTCCAAAAATACATAAGCACCCCCACAGACAGCACAAAGGATGATAAGAGGTATCCATAAAACTGCTGAGTGAATTGGGAGTTACTTCTCATATAGAAAATAAAGGGAAATGTAACCTTTCAGGTGTGGAAAATAAAGGTAAATGTAACCAACCTTTCAGGTGTGGAAAAAGCTGCTGCAAGCAGAAAGACTTGTTTTACTATGGATGTTTGAGAACAAAATTAAACCTTAAAGCGTGGCAAGGGCCCCTTCACATTTGACATTTATGAAATCTTGGACAATTAAACACTGGAATATACTGCCTAGAGACAGCACAGCAATCCCATCACAGATAGCCCCTGCCAGGCTGGTTAAATACCAGCAATATCACAGCTATGTTTGATCCTGTGCAGCTGGATGGATCAAACATCTCCAGGTCCCTTCCACCACGTGATCCTTGAACTTTAAAAACAGCCTAAACTCTCCTGTGAAATGGAATTTAAACTCTGAAGCTGTGTAAGTTACAGTTTAGGAAGCATGGTGGTCAGGGGTTTAACATGGAAAAATTGCCCTTCAGTCAAGCTATTAAGTGATTGCAAATTACTTACAAATTACATAATGAGCATACTTTGCTATAAACAATCCCCACTGGCCTAAAGCAGAGGGTTCCAATTAATTGCACACCTGTCTTAAAACACAGGGCTCTGATGCCTCAGTGTGAAAGAATCTCCATCACACTCCCTACCTCAGCTATTTTAGAAATGCAACCATTTGAGAACCTCAAAAGCAGGTGAAACTGGGAGAAGGAAGAGAGAGGAACACAACTATTCATACCAATTACAGATAGGACAATTTAGAATGACACAGATTGTCATTTTTTCATTGCTTATAACAAAAAAATGGCACAAAACTCTGTTATAAATCACACTTTACCTTTATTGAAAACACAGTAAAAAAAAAATTTTCCTACAAAACATTCAGTGTAACATTTCAAACAAAGGAAAAAAACATGACCACTGCTTTCCACAAAACAAAAAATCAGCCAAGCTAAGGCAGCAGAGCAGATATTTTCTTTTTTTTTTTAACACAATAAAATACCCACAACAGAGAACATTATAAATCATAATTCTGGATGACCTAAAATGAATCAGAAAGGGTTTGATGGGGAGAAGGTATCTATACCCAAAAACTGTTGAGATTAAAGTAACACTCAAAGCAC